GACGCTCTGCTCTATCCCTGATGTTCATGATGTGAATCTGTCTCCGACTCGTCGATAAACTCTGATCCGAACCTGCGTCTCACTCATCCTCCTCAGACCTCAGTCCACATCTCGCTCCGACTCTGTGGTTTTTGGCCGCAGACTGAGGTGGTGTCATTTCCCAGCATTCAGCAGCAGCTCAGTGTTTTTACTGTAATCAGTGTTAGAGCAGCAGAGCTCAGTGGTATTTCCTTTGGCTGCAGACGCCGTCTTTCCTAACATCACCACAGCAACACAGAGCTGCAGCGAGGACAGAGCGAGGACGTCCACGCGTCTCTGCTTTAATCATTCTGATGCAACAACAACACAAACAAACTCATCTCTGTTCATGAGACTAATGAGAGTCCAGAGTTTCACCTCGTTAACAATGTTTTTACATGATACAGACACATGACGATGAAACAATCATCAGCACCATGACTGAGTGTTTCCACCTTGACCTGGAGTGAACCAATCACAGTCTCATAAACACAGATTCAGGGTTTCATACGTCACAGACCTCAGGAACCAATCCTGTTAACTGGTGGGGACGGGGGGCGGGGCTAAATACACCTGAAACCTCATCAGTACAGAGAGAGAGTTAGCATTAGCACAGACGCTAACACTGTGTCAGCCACTGCCAGTTACAAGCTAACAAACAACATAAACAAATAAAAGATGCTAACTGCGCTAACCGCTCTGACCCGTCTGCTAGTCTCTGGTTCTGGTCTCAGACTCTGAGTCTGGGTCTGACGGAGGTGGGCGGGGCACAAGGCCTGATCCAGATTTCTCAATCAGGAAGTGAAAGTAGACCGGGCCGAGGTTCAGAGTAAACACTGCACATGTTGGCACAATGTGCGTGAGTGTGTGTGTGTCTGCAGGGAACAAACACTGAGAGACACACCTGAGAGACAGGTAATGCCCCGCCTCCTCTGTCTGCTGTGTTGTGACAGCGTGAGATGAATCAGCTGCGACTGACTCGCTGTTCAACTGCTGGATCTGGATCTGGGTTTAATCCCCACAGATCCTTTAACTGGATTAAGAGGAGCCGGCTGAGCAGCAGGGAGTCGCACTGAGACACGGGATCCACAGCAGGAGTGAGAGTACTGCCACGCACGCACACACGCACGCACGCACGCACGCACGCACAATTATAGTTGATCAACAGAACATTGATCTGAATCATCTGATGGTTCAGTGAGGAGGAGGAGCGTCAGAGTCACCTGATGATGTCATCACACAGGTGTTGGTCCCCACAGTGACTGTGTCTGAGCTACAGGCTCAGACACCTGCAGGTACGTCCAGGTAACGTCTCGTTACCGAGGAAGCTGCTTCATGGTGCGTTCACTGACACAAACACTGAGGGGAAACACAAGCAGATCTCTGGTGACGTGCTGCAGCCCACAGCGTGACCTCTGACCCTGAGCATCAAGCTGCCGGAGGTAAATCTGTCACCTGAGGCTCTGAGAGTTTGTTTTCTGATGTTTATTTTAGATTGATTGATTATTGGAGCCAATAATCAGCTGATCAGCCGTGACGTTTAAAACACGTCTGAGACTCTGAGTCTGACCTGAAGTCGGGATCATCGTCCTCTGTGTCCGAGCTGCAGCTAATTCTGTGTCCGGCTAA